AAAAATATTGTATTTAGTGTTAGTTTTATTTTGTGTTATAATGGTTTCTAGAATTCTTTTGCAATTTGTCCTATATGATATTTTAGTCTTATCTATTAAAATTTAAATTAAAATTATGTTAATAGTATTTTGTTTGTTTCTAATGTACTGATCAATATGCATACTATTATATATATATATATATATATATATATAACAGTGTAGGTGAATAAATGAATAATACATCTGTTGTAATATGTAAAATGTATAGGATTTGTTCTTTATGTCTAGGTTGGCAATTATACACAGTGCAGCAGAAATACCTCTCACATAATTAAATTAGGTAAATGAAGACACCATTGCCACTAATGTCTTACTAATATGTGGAAGTGTTTCTGCCACACCCTGTATAATGAGTGATGTTTTTTTGTAAAGTACGGTTTACCATTTTTATACACAAAAATATATTAGGAAAATAGTTGTTGGTAATGATTATTGTATTTTTTGTGTATAATACAAGAAATTTTAAATGAAAATTAAAGATAAAATGGGCTGGGTTGTATTATACACTAGTACACATTTTCAGAAAATTTTACTCTGATCAGCTTAAAAAACTTCTTTGAAAGAGAAAAATTGCAAATACATTTAGTTAATTCAATAGACAATAAATCAAAGTAGGGCAGATGTTGAAAACAATTGTTTACAAAAGATGTTTGATATGTCGGCAATATTTGTTCTTTGAGAATCAGTTTAATGTTTAAAATTAGAACAGTTGTTTGTTTATATTTCGATTTACTTTTTATTTTTTTTTTAAAATAAGGTTTTCTCTCTTCATTCTTAATGAAAGTCAATATTTTTTTTTATTTTCATTGTTTATTAATGGACTCATATAAAATGGAAATGTATGATAGATTAAGACCATAAAATTGCCAGGTATGTCTATTTTGCACCTTTCTCGAAAATTTGAAAACAAGTTTTGAAATGGAAATTAGAAGAAACACACAAGGGTTAAACATCCAGTCCATTTCTATTCTTTAATATGAAAAATTAAATATTTTAGTGAAATATATGTATGACATTCTGGTTTTAATGGATACAATTTTAGAAAAAAAAAAAATCACTTACAGATAGCTGTACTACTGGGTCATATTATACTCAAGGATGTAATTTATTCCCTGTTTTTAGCTTCAGAAATACAAGGTTGTATTATACTTAAGAGAATATGTTATACAATTTTGGCAAATTTCAAAAAGTAGACTGAGTATATTTATATACTTCCAATATGTTCAAATATAGAAATATATGTCATCATTTAAGTGTATGTAGCTAATGATATGTGTGTATATAGTAATGTGTTAGGATACAAGAATCAGTTATGTTTTATTACGGGTAATCTAATATCTTATTGATCATTATAAGATCTTAAAATCAGGACTGGCATTTTCCTGATACTTTATGAAACTGAAAATGACAATTATGGCTCTTTGCTGTTAATCAAATAACTTTAGATGGGAAAAGAAATTATTAGGATAAAGAACATTCTCTCTCTCTCCCTCTCTCTCCCTCTCTGATATATAACATAAAATGTGTAAAAATGGCAAAGATATAAATATTGGGTAAAAGGTAGTTTAGTATATTATTGCTTTATGTATATACTAACTTTGCTTGTACCATAAAAAATTATGATAATATTAAAGTTTTCATTATTTTATAAGTGCATTGTAATTACAAAATGACTGTCTATTTATCTGCAAGTCAAAATTAATCTGGGAGCTAAAAATAATTTAAGACATGAATAATTTATGGTATTTCATTTGCCAGGTTTAAAATGAGAACATTTCTATGATGTTATCAGAATAGTCCAAATTCAGATGAGAAAAAAATCAGTCTTTGTTTTTCATTCCCTTAGTGATATATAGAAAAAAAAATTTTAACAAAATTTTCAATTCTATCCCTATCCATAATATTTGTGAAATTTTCTACACACTTTAGAACAGAATTAGTGCCTGCATACAGATGTACATATAGTTTATTTTATACATGTGGATTATTTATATATATATATATATATATATATATATATATATATATATATATATATAAAGTGGACACTGAGATCAACACCCAGGAATGACAGTCTGTTTTATACTTAAATGCTATCTTCAGGGCTGATGTTGCTGCTTGATGTTGACCTCAATGTTCACTTTTATATTTACATACATTCTATCTCTGATATTGAGCACTGAGCCCAATATCAGAGAGTATACTCAATAACTTAATAACCATCAAAATAATACATCTTACTATTAATACCACTGACTTATAAATAGTTGAGCCAAAACACAGTAAACGTGGCCTGAAGATTGTGTTGATGCCACTTGGTGTTGACCTCAGTGTCCACTTATATATAGTTTGTGTGTGGTGTATTAGGACAACAATGGTTCATTTATGCAAGTTTGAAAACCAACAAAAGTTCTTTTAACCCCTTCCTTGTCATAGACGTGTCTATACATCTTTTACCAAAAGTGTCTTTTTCAGATACACACAAATAAACACGTCCAAAACATAGCATTAAAAAAAAAAAAAACAGTTACAAAACATGTTTGTAAATCAATCTTGATTATTTTTTTATGCCCTTTGAAATTTAAAAGAAACAAACCCAATTGTCAACTCATATGTCTGGTAGAATGTTAGTCAAAGCTTGGGTACTTCTAAATTAGATCATTTTCTTTTTTACTTGGCTTAAAAAAAAATTTAAAAAAATTGTCTGAAATTTAAATGTTTTTTTTAAAAATAATTGAAAGAAAAAGAGGTTAAGATTTTTTTTTTTTAAAAATTTCTTTTGTTGAATTAGTTTTTTTTTGTGGTGCTTTTTATAATTCATAAGAATATTTTCAAAATTTTTTTTTAATTTTTTTTTGTGTTTTTAAGTATCAAAATTTTAAAATCATCAATTTCCTTTCTATTTTTTTTTTATTTCAATCATTTTAGTAAGGTAATAAAATCACTAAAATATAAAAAAACATTACTGATATTGAATGTGAAAAAAAAAAATACTATTAAGGGAGAGAACAATAAAAAAAAAAGAATTAAGACATAAGATAATGATTGAAGATTGCATTTAAAGTTTTTTTAAGAAGAAAGAAAAAAAACCCTTTGTTGGTGTTCAACCCAACTTATAAGCATGCATTTTTAAATAATTTTTAAGAAAAAAAATTTTTGGTGTATGTATTAGTATAAAATCTGTTTTCAGTGTTTGTTTTGTGAAATATTTTTATGATTGTAAATTTCAAAAGAAGTTACATTGAACAATATATGCAATTAACTTATTCCTGATAGGATATCAATGAAGAATTATAAAATGTTAGTTTTTTTAGTTTATTGGTTGGTGTATCTGCCTTCAAGTTTGATATTTGAACTCTGGTTTTGATCAAACTTTGAACACTAATACTGCCAATTGAACATCTATTAGTTTAAAAATATAAAAATCATTTAATGATGCTAAAAAATGGTTGAATATTCTATCATTTTTAAGACCCTTAATAATATTTCATATATAAAGAGTTCATTCTGCCTTACTTTTTCATCCATACCTGGTGGTGAAGAAATGGATTCATATTTTTCACAAGGATATTTGTTCAAAAGTTTAGAAATTTTTTGATTTTTTTGAACTCAGTTGTCAATCCCACTTTTTTGCATTGTTTGAATTTACTGCACCACTATATATATAGGTTATATATCATTTGCAAAGTATTAGGAATATTCTATGTTAATGGAACTTTATATTGGAAGAAGCTTTTTTGGTTTTTACTTTTAAAACTCTGTGGCATATACATTCTAAGTTATAATGTTATTGCTTAATTCCATTGTTTTTAGCAGTTCTTAAATAAAGTTTTAGAATATGGTTGTTTTACCATTTTATTAAAGAGGTTCCATTAGTGACCATTTAATTGTGCAAAATTTTTTTTTATATGATATTCCCTAAGTTCAACAAAAAACCAAAATTCCTATATTTTTTATTTTAATATGAATTTTTCAAATCTCAAATTTCAAGATGTTGAAGAAATCTAAGAGAATGTGACGAATAAAAATATTCTCGCTATCCCCAAAAAATATTTCCAGGAACATTCCATATAATGAGAACGATATCTTAATAAATTTGTGGATTTTTTTGGGCCTAAAAAAATTGATATATAATTTTAATTTTTTAAATTATAGCATCCTGAATACTTTTGGTCAACTATGTGTGTACATATATATATATATATATATATATATATATATATAAATTTTCAAATATTGTATTTTCTATTCTCTATTGCATTGATCTTGGTGGCAATTCAACAATTTGTTTTTAAAATCTTTGACTAATTCTCTTTTCTTTTCTAGATTATTTATTTGTTTATTTAATTAAAGTTTCACTAAAAATTGAAAATCAAATTGTCTTTTTATTTTACATACAAGGGTCCCTGCTGAATATTTTGTTTTTAATTTGAGCCTAGAGCCAGCTAGGTGACAAAATGGCAGTGTGAAAGTTAGAATGGGGAAGAACATTGTTGTTGTTGCTGCTAGTGCCAGTGTCTTTGGCAAACTCCATAAAGTGATAATAAGAATTTTTTTTTATAGAAATCTAAGCTTTGTGTAAAGATTTGATGGTTTATATACAATAATATTTTCAGATATTGTTGTCATAACTGCCATCATCTCTTGTATTGTGCACGATCAGGGCAAAATTTAAGGAATGTTTTATTTGAGCAATAAACAGTAAAAGAAAAGTTCAATCTATATTTATTTAATATTTTTTTTGAGTAAATATTTGACAAACAATTTATTTGGTTTCATATTAGCTAGAATGACATGTTATTAATGCAAGATATTGATTTCTCCCAGGTGATACTGCATAACCTTGTTGCCATTTTTTTTTAATAACTCTAGTTGTGAGTAGTGATAAACTTTTATAGTCTGTGATATTTATTTATTTTTATAGATGCTGGTCTGGTAATCATGCTGAACGGCCTTCTATGGCTGAAGTCACTAGAATTATGACACGTCTCTCAGAGGTGAGTAGATCTTATTTTATATACAGTGGTCGCCACCTTATCTCCAGTTTTGGTTTTCTATACTTTCAATTATCCACTCTCAACCCTTTAAATAAAAAAAATAAGTTTTACTTAATAATGATGGCAAAATGCAAGAGAAGTGATTTTTTATAGTTCTGATATGCAAAAGAAAAGCTGTGAAAAGTTGAAGATTTTTAATCTTAGCAGTTATTAAGTTTTTATTGTGCTTAACTTATAACTTTTTTTTTATTACCATATGTATTCATGACACAGTCTGGTAGATAACAAATTACTCTGTGTTGTTTTTTTTTTTTTTTTTTTTTTTAAAAAAAACAAACAGATGTCTATGCAAACATGTATCCACAAAATATAATGGTTATAGGAATTAATGTTGGATTGCAAAAAACAAAAGAAAATCACATTAATTCCCTAGAAATTAGTTTGCTTACATTTTGAATACAAAAATAAAGTTAGCAGATTTGGGATTTGAAAGATTTTAAAATGTACTTACCTTCATTATTTTAATTGATTTTTTTTTAATATGAATATTCTTTTTCTTGAGTGCTTTTTCCCACTTTAATTTACTATACAGTTTTTAAATGAGAATTTATCCATTGCATCATATATATATATATATATATATATATATATTTCAATACATTATGGCTGACCTTAACTAAAAATTTCATGTGATATCTTGCAATAATCAAGTAGTTAGCAAAAAATTTTGTGAAAATATGTGTGTGTTCTTAAAATTGGCTATATCTATTTTATTTTGTAACTTTTAGTATTTTAGATAGTGTTTAAAAAATAGACAGTTGGACATTGACAAAAAGAAACTGACAATCAATATGAATTTTTAATTCTTATGTCCTATATGTCTATATATATATATATATATATATATATATATATATATATATCACACACACACAGTGCGTGTAATGGATAAATTGTCATCTAAATTACATAAAAAAAAAATAACACTGACATCTCATTTTAACAGATATATTTACCAAAATTATACAAAAATATCTTGAAATAGTAAAAAGTAAATTTATTCAATAAAATTGCCATTGGCTTCAACCACAGTCTCCAGAAAACTTCAGAATCTCCTGCAACTCTTCTGGACGGTCTCCTTGTTTAAGTTGGTGAATGCTGCCATAATCCTTGCCTTCAGTTCATCTTTGGTGTTACAAGGAGTTTTGTTGGTCTCTTCACTCAACTGCATCCCCACACATAATAATCAAGGGGGTTGCAGTCTGGGGAGTTAGGTGGCCAGATGTAAGGGGTGATGTGGTCACAGAAATTGTCTGACAGCCATGACTGGGTTCTCCTGCTTGTGTGGCATGGTGCAGAGTCCTGTTGCCAGACATAGGGTCTTCCAGCAGCCACCCTCTTGACCCAGGGCAGCACTACCTCCTCAAGGCACTTGATGTAGGCCTCCATGTTGAGTCTGAGGCCCTCACCAACAAATTCATGGAGTTCTTTTCTTATCAGAATGATTAGTGAGTTTTCCAAACTGCCTACCTTCATAATCTTCATTAGACTCCTCCAACACTTTCTGAATCCTCTGCACTGTCCTCAGATTGACACCCAAACACTCTGAAATGTTTGTATTGGAGCTTCCAGCATGAATGCCAAGCAGTACAGCATGCAGTTTCCAAATTTCCGGTGGAATGAATTGTGTCATGGTGCTTTCTTTCTCACAGTCGGTGCCCAATTGACCCTACTATACTTTGGAGTTAACAAAATCAAAAACAAACAACATGCATGTGCAAAATTAAGAATATAAAATGGCGACAATTTACCCATCGCACCCTCTATATGTGTAATATTTATATAATGTGTGTGTGTATATATATTGTATAGAGAAAAGATTTATAGTATCTGTGGTTTCAGGTATGCTCTGTGGTCATGTTATATATCTCTATTGAATAAGTGAGGTCTTATAGTGCATTTTCCTACTTTTGGATAAAAATTTTCTTTTATACTGTGCAAAAATTATATGAAGTTAGTACTGTATGTACTTTCTTACAGATGATTTCTTTAATGATACCAAAGGCTTTTATGAAAATCAAGTTTATTATTATCATTATATTAGAATGATGGGCAAGTTCTTGAACATTAGAGAAAAATTCCCAAATTCTAACAGATAGAATGTTTCATTAAGTTTTTTTCATTCAGAATATATATAGTGTAATATTTTCAAAATTCACAATCATCAGTTTCACTTGCATCAGAGCATTCATTCACAATGTTAGAAAAATAGATTTTTTTATAGCAATTTATTATTTCAATGCCATGTATTGATTTCAGACTTGGAATTCAAAATTAATATTTATTTGAAAAAGAACTAATTCTTTCCTCATTTTACATATTTTTATGAATGCTTCACAAATTTCTAGTACAGCTAATTAAAGACATTAGACAAGTTTTGAAGTAGACAAGCATTGGAGTCGGATCAACAGAAATTGAATCTGGTTGTAGAAGACAATCTATAGTTGACCAACTGAGAAATAACACAGCAATTCAAAAATTTTTAACACTTTTTCACAATTCAGTTATTTTGGCTGCAAAAAAAAAACTTTCTCTGAACTCTTAAATTGGATCCTGTATTTTTTTTCAATCAAACTAACCAAAATTGCTGCTTGGATGTGTGCACATGTCTGAAACACAGGTATGCATGGCTGAACACCATTACAAATGATGAAAACTGGTGTCCTTATATCAACAAGATGTGCAAATGAAAGTTGGATGAACTAGATGACTACTGCACATGAAAAAAAAGTTTATGGTTAGGAGGATGTGTGAAGCATTGTTTATACAAACAAGACTATCACTGCCAAAGTGTATTACACATATCTGTAAAAGAATAGAATCTGTTTATTACAGATGACCTTCAAGAAATGATTGCAGTTAGGTTGGGAAGTTCTTCTGCACTTGTCTATTTATTTGGTGATTAAGGATCAGCATCTTTACTTTTCACTGCAGAACTCCCTAAATTTTGAAGTGATAATAATGGTTTTAGAAAACCTTGATTTTAACATCTTATTTTAATGTAGAATAATTTAAAATGCCTGGAAGTTGATAGGAAGTAATAAATAATAGGAATAATCATATTGATTTAGAGAATTCTGTTTCTTTTAGAAAATAAATAAGGCATGGGTATGTGTTGTAGAGTAGTTTTCACAGTTTGGAATATATTGTATTTTATAAGTCGGTCCTAAAAGCATCTCCAACGTATATTTTAAATGTTTAATACTTGAAATAATAGTTAATGATGCAGCAATCTATCATGTAATTTTCATGATACCTCAATGTCCGACATTATAAACTCCATTTCCACTAAATCCAACTGGCGCCGATTACTACTACTACTACTACTAATTATGTGTGGGAGAGTCTATTACAATAGAATAGGTAATTTTCTGGTATAACAGTATGTTATTACAGTAGGAAAGTGACTGAAGCTGAGATGTTAGAACTAATAACATTACAGATTCTTTTTGGGATTTAATCAAGAATCTCTAAATACATTGCAGAAGGACCTGACCAGATGTGACAGCAATATTCTATGGATGGATGAATGGTAGACTTCTAAATGTGTAAGATAGATTCTGACAAGAAAATTTGTCTAGTATGACAGTGAACCAACTTTCCTAGCAGCATATATAGAAACTGATTCAATATAATCTTACCACTTGTTGTGAAAAAGAAGGTAAGATGTTTTTATTAAAATTTGATATTTTTTAACCTCCAAGAGGTTAGCATCAGTCAATTTGAAAAAAAAAAATGTCATTTTAATTTTGGAGGTAATAAAATTTAATTGTATTTTATTTTATTGCAACAATTTACAATAGATTGTAGGTCATTTTTTTTTTTATTTTTTAGATGAGTGCACAGTTTGACTTTATCAAATCAATCAAACTTAGCATTAAGACAGGATTAAATAGTTGTCTCATTAACATAGATACCAAGTTGAGAACTGATGACAACAGGAATTTCATTGATGAAAATTAGGAAGAACATAAATCCAAAGATTGAGTCCTGGGCAACACTCACATTAATGCAAAAAGATCTAGATGATTGGTCATGCAAGACAACTTTCATTTTGTGATTTGATAAGAAAGATTGAATCAGATCAAAAATTTATCCAGAAATGACATTTCCTTTCAACTTGTGAAGAAGACCAGCATGCCAAACCATGTCAGATGCCTTCAAGATATTCAAAGCAACAGGCTGAACTTCACCATTCTCATCTAAAGCTTGATAGACTCTTTCAGTAATAATTAATATATCAGCAGTTGACCTAGATAAGTGAAAGCCATATTACTTGTCTAAAAGAAGACTATGAGGTGAGATGCTTAACCAATTTAAAGTTGGTTAGAGCTTCTATTGCTTTGTCAACAAGATCTAGAAGGCCAATAGTTAAATTTCATCAGATTTGTTTAAATAAAAATTTTTTAAGACTGAAACTACAGAAGAGGATTTGCAACAAGCTGTGTCAAAAATCAATGGCATTTACTAAGTGTTTTTAATAGTCCATATGCTTTATTAGGATTCAATTTAGAGATAATAGAATAATCCATATATATATATATATATATATATAAATGTGTGTTGTAAAAAGGAAAAGTACTGAATGAGAATAACCAAAATGGAGGTTGTAAATGAAATGGTAATCTTATAGCATCAACAAAATACAATACAATCATCTTTCAGCTTGTGTTTTAAACCACTGCTTGTGAATATCTGAAAAACTTAGAATATTATTTGTTATTTTTAAAATTTTTTTCTGTATTTATGAAGATTAGGACATACCCATTAGTGTTCATAGGTATGGTATATAACAATATATATTAGAGGTTTGATCAAATTTCAAGATGAGGAATTCCAAGAGAATGCGATGAATTTAAAAAATATCCTAAAAAAAAATCCAATTTACTTCCTTCATTGGAAATGATACTGGATAAAGTGTGTGGTTTCAGAAGAGAATT